GTAATTAGGTGGAGATGTGGGTAAACTTTGAAGTGTTACTTGTAACTTTTGGTGGTAAAACAGCAAATCACGGGAACTTAACCGAGGTGACTGTAGATGCTGCTACCTCGCCATAAGGCTACCCCGCAATTTCTGCCCCCACGAATGACTATCTCCAACCTCTTACCTCGCCTTGGACTGGACATCCTTCTTAACACCTTCGACTTCTTTCTCTACTTGTTCCCAATCACCGTCCTCGGAGTCAGACTTATCCTCTTTTCTCACGAGCTTCTCTTCGACGCCATCTACTTCAAGTTCAACAAGTTCCTCTTCCATTCGCGGTTCCTTGCAATCCTGTTGCTCAATTTCCTCCTTCGCATCATTCTGTGCAGTTTCGAGAATCTTCTGGACCTGTGCTTCCATTCTCTCCAATTCCCCTTTTGTCGTTTCTCGAATGTTTTCTATCTCAGCTGCCTTGAGCTTCCTTTCCTCTTCCATACCTTGAGTTAGCCTCTGCATATGTCGCTCTGCTAAAGTTTTCTCATCCTGAATCTGTCCATCCAATTCTTGAATGTGTGCTTTCAAACGGTCGACAGTATTTTCACCAGCCTTTCTCGTACTCTCGATCTTTGCATCTTTGAGTTTGAGCTCCTCTTCTAGAGTTTCGACGCGATAATGCGCTTGATCTTGAGCCGTAGCCAATCTTTCCTGAAGCTGCTGGACTTCTTTCTCGCGCGTAAGTAGCTCTCGTTCTTGATCGTCCAGTTCATCGATCTTTGCTTCCAGTTCATTTCGCTTTTCCAAGAGAGTGTCTGACAAATTCTTGATGCCTTTCTTTTCATAGTCGAGTTCCTGTTTCTTCTGCTCCAATTCAGCTTTGACAGCATCAAAAAGCTTGTTCTTTTCTTTGAGCATGAAGTTCATATTTTCCATACCCTGTACGTGGGCCTTGGCCTGCTGCTGTGCTGCTTCTAATTGCTCTCGAAGTTCCTGGACCTCCTTTCGTTGCGCCACTTGAAGTTGTTGTGCTATGTCTCTCCATTTCTCAATGTCTACCTTTCGTTGAGTAAGCTCCAGTTCTTGTTCTTTGACGTGGGTCTCCCAATACAGCTTTATGTTAACTAGTTGATTCTCAAGCACCTGTTGCTTCCGCTGAGCATCTTTTTCGGCCTCTTCTCGTTGTCCGTGTGCTTCTTGGAGATTGATCTTGTGCACTTCTGAGGCTTTCTCATAGTCCTCTAGTTGCTGTCTCGTGGCAACGCTCCCCCTCTGCAAATTTTCATTCTCATGTGCTAACTGCTCTGCCATTTGCTCCAACCTTTGCATCTCCGCAGCTGCTAACTCGAGCATTCGTTCTGTTCTTTGAGAGCCATCGTAGAATTGCTTCTCGGCCGCAAACTTCTGTCTCAGCAGCTCATTTTTCTCCCAAGCCAGTCGCTGTCTTGACTCGTTCAGATCCTTGATCTCCGTGTCCTTTAGCTCGAGCTCCCGTTCGTGCTTCTTGGCTTGCTCCTCTAGCTCTTGCTTCATAGATGCCCTCTCGTTGTCAAATTGTCCGTGTCGAGATTCCACTTCCTTCCAAGCAAGGTCTTTCAGACTCTCAATTTCTGCTAGCTTGATCTGCAGCCCCTCTTCCTGTTCTTCGAGTTGCTTTTTCATATTCAGATATTCAGTCAGGAGCTTCCGCTTGTCCCAACCCGACGGATGATTAGATATTGCGCGTAATTTAGCTTCGTGAGCATCTAAATCGGCGTTTTTATTGGCAGCCTTGTCTTCCTGGTCCACGGCCCAAGAACCAGGAAGAATATTTTGAAAGTGAGGATTGCTTTGGATGTCCGTTCCCTGGGGAATTTTACATCGAGCTACCTCATACTCCATGATCTGCTTCTGAACCTTCTTGATTTCGGCTCGAGCTTGTGTTGCCTGCTCAACATAATGGTCCACCCATCTATCACTAGGGAGATTATCTGAGCGCTGCCCTCTTGCGTTGGCATCGTACCTGGCTGCATCATACTCGAGTCCTTTGATGATTTCTCGAAGTTCCGATATCTTGGAGGTCTCCTCGTTGGCACTCTTGTGCTGATAGTCTTGGCGCATCTTTTGCAGAGTAGCATCGCACTGAGTTATTTGTGCTCGAATCATCTTGACCTCAGCTCGATCGTCTGCTGCATGCCTGGTGTACATCTCTCTCCAAGCAGAGCTCCCAGCACTTTTCGCATTAGCATCCGCCTTCGCGGCACTTTCTTGACGTTGCTTGGCAGCAGCATTCAAGTTCAAAATCTCTTCGATGATCCTCTTCTGCTCCAGATCGCTATGTGAAACGAATATACCTTTTTTCCACTCCCATTTAGCGGACTGGATCACTTTGTCAAAACGGCGGTTTGCATCATTCATAACCCTTTGTTGTCCTTCCTGCAGCTCTCTCTGGCTTATGGACGGACTGCTTAACTTGGCTAGTTCTCCTGCCCGTCGCACCTTAGTTGAGAGATGTTGTTCGTATAGACGTTTAGTTTCGTCGCAGAGCGAGGTCATGCGTGTGAACTTCTCAGACCATGTCTCAGTTGCTGGGCCTTGTGCCTGTGCACTGATGAATGCAACGATAAAGCCAACTTGGTACTCGTTGGTTGCTTCGATAATGATATCCATCTTAGTCAAATGTTTGCGGAGGGATGGTAGCATTTAGTTGTCAGGTATGGGATCTGGGTAGGCCTGACACTGGAAAATTGAAGTTTGGAAGATATAGAAATCACAGAGTATGTACAGCATGATCGTGATTAACGGCGCCCAAAAGCATTCAGATTTGTTTGGACATTCGCTTGAATCCGCACGAATTATCCTTCCGGGTGTGGAGGACTTGACTTTGTGACTCAGACACGAGCACAATCAAACGCTGAAACATGGGAATTGAAACCCTGAAGCAATAGCGGCTCGAAGCCTGCAGGGCGCTGATAATTTAGCGCTTAAAGCCTGGAGACATGCGACCGCGAAGGTAAAGCGACAAATCTTCAAAATAATCATCGCAAATGAACACTAACAAACCGAACATTAAGAATGAAATGATTCCAGTAATTTCTCTCCCTATGATCTCAGAACAAGCACTTAAGCCCTTACACAGCTCCAGTCAGGATCTCTCAAGACCTTCGCTTGTACCAGGCCTAGTCGCGACTCATCATCGATTCCCACAACCCCCAGCGCATTCCTCTCCTAACACACTGCTGACTAATGTTTGCGCTGGGGAATACTGACGGCTTGAATTGTTGTTGTGTTGAGTCCCACGACCGCATTTGATTGTACTCTAAGCCCACGTTGCAAAGGAGATTGAGGAGGGGGAGGTGTTCGTGAACGCGATTTCGAGATATTATGACTCCAAGCCCTGCTTTCTGATTGCGCTCTAGCTTCTTCTCTCCCACACCCACTGTTATCTTCAATCATGGTTACTGTGCTGACCCTTCCAAAGGCCAGACTGAGGAAAACTTCGGAATTTGAAATCTGGAGGCACTGTGTTTGATCCACAGAAGCCGCAAACCACTGCAATTCAAGGATAACCTTGAATAATGAACACAAGTTTTTGCAATTTTTATTGCTGGCTTTGGATTCTTCAGTGTGTGGTGGGTAAAGACATTTTTAGTGCATTTTGGAAGCGAGCTCGCTAAGGCTCCCCTGAACTTTACGGAGGGAAAAGAGAGCTCTTTTTTTTGTGGCAAAAACGTGCTCAATTTCTCCCTCGTTCACCATCATTTGTATCATGAGCCAGAACGTAACAAAAATATGGATCTTCGGGCCTCACTTTGCTTGCCAAAGTCTGAAAGGGAAACTCGAGGAATAAAAAAGAGTCAAAAAACTATCCCTCAGGCGCGAGTCGAACGCGCGACATTCCGGTGAGACTGATAAATTACAGCCGGACGCCATAAACCAACTAGACGACCGAGGGTTGGAATACTTTAAACGAATTCAAGTTGTTATTGTTGGCCAAGAAGTTATTATTTAAATCTATACAGGCGTTGGAAGGGAATCCCGAAGTTGGGTGGGGAACGACCGCGGATGAATCTGAATTGTGAGTCATTGCCGAAATATATCCTGGGAATTTGTTTGATAGTTCATATCTTAAATTAAATTGCAATAAAGATGAGTTGGACTATTGCATATACGCTAATCTCAAAATCGCACCTAGCTTTGTGTTGTACGAGTATACATTGTGCAGAAGATACCAAGTTCTTTCTCATATAGTATCAAGTACCAAAAGCTAATCACTCAAAGCTACAACTTCATTTCCAAATTCGCTTTCACAAACGCAACTGTCTCCTTTGACTCCATCTGTGGATATCTCCACGCAAACATTGCCTCAAATTGCGGCACAGTAGGCACCGTCACCATCGGCTGCTTATGAGAGAATGTCTCAATGCTCGCCTTCCCTCGATATGCTCCCAACCCACTCCCTCTCACTCCACCAAAAGGCATGCTGACAGGTGCAATCTGCCCCATCACATCGTTGATGCATACAGTTCCGGCGTTGCACCAAGTAAGTACCTGACGTGCTTCCTCTAGGTCTTCCGAGAAGGCGTAAAGTGCTAGTGCGTCTGGAGAAAGTTTGTGGAGGAGGGCTTTGGCTTCGGCGTCCGTCCTATATTTGAGGACTGGGAGGATAGGGCCGAAGATTTCGGTTTGTACCAGAGGGTCGTTTGAGGAGATGTTTTTGATGACTGTAGGTTCGATGAAGAGATCTACTTCGCTGCCTGTTCCTCCGAAGACTATGGTGCCTTGAGTTGAGGTGAGAAGAGACATGATGCGCTTCCAGTGGCTCGCGTTGACGATTTTGCTCACCTTGGCGATCTCAACTTTGTCTCCATAGAAGTCTTGGTGGGCCTGCTAAGTGTCAGCTCTCATGTCAACGTAATTTCGAAGTTATCTTGCCTTCTCAAGAGCAGTTATGAAAGCATCATAAACACTTTCATGAACAATAGCATGATTGGGAGCTAAACAAGTCTGGCCAGCAATCGCAAATTTACCCCACGCAATTCTTTTCGCCGTGAGCTCAACGTTGGCTTTCTCCGTCACAATCACCGAGTTGATTCCACCCAGCTCCAATGTGACTGGAGTAAGATGCTCAGCAGCAGCTTTCATCACCAATTTCCCCACATTCGTACTTCCAGTGTAAAGAATATGTCCATATGGATATCTGAGAAGCGCTTGTGCCACATCTATGCCTCCGTTGATCACACGAAAGCAACATGGGTCTAGATACTTGGGGAAGAGCTCGGCGAGTAGGGTTGCCGTATTTGGAGCGTGCTCGCTGTGGTCTGATCAGTTTCAAGCGGTCCCTTGACGACTCCTAGGAGTGCTCGGTACCTAGGTTTGAGAATGCCAACATTTCCGCATGCAATTACTCCGATCATGGGTCCAATTGCTAGATCTTTTAGTAAGGGCCAAGAGGAACGAATGAGATGTAAGACATACTCAAGGCGATTGGGTAGTTCCAAGTTCCAATGACCAGGCATATTCCTTTCGGTTTTCGAACAATGATAGGAGACCAATTCTCGAATGGTGGCGGGGTTTCGACAGTCTCAACAGCAAGCCACTGATCAATCAGAGACGGGGTACTCGCCATGGGGTCTAGCATTAGACACATACCTCATCCAGTTTCGAAATACAGTGAGAAATCTAGAGTCCAGGTCAGGAGTCTCTTGCTCTCCTTGGCTTCCGCACTCACATCATTCTTCATCGCACCTATCTCCAAAACCTGGATCTGAACTTGGGTTTTCCAAGGTCTGCAAAGATGGCATCTGAGATTGCAGCTTCATTTTCCTGGATTTCGAGTCAATAATGCTACCATTCTTCAGACCGCATTTCTCCAGAACCTACGTCCAACATCCTCCATAGAGACCTCAACTGTTCCTTTCGCCATTCAATCACGAGCGTCCGCCCACTCTCGAACGAGGCATCAAGTTCATCCAGAATGTTTGAAAAGTTCATAGTGGAGATAGAGCAGTATCTACTGGCAAAGAAGTATGGGGGCAAAGAAGTATGGAGGCAAAGAAGTATGGAATTAGAGAGAAATTCGAGAAACGTCAGCGGGATCAGCACTGAAATACCTTTCATTCTATGCGATCCCCTCGTTTCAGGATAGGAATTTGTCCTTGCCTCCATTCTCATTTACGGAAAAGATGCTTTCGATTGGGAAGATGCATACGACTCTCGCAGGTCACTGTCTCATCTTCATTGGGAAATCGCCTTTCGGTTCCGATGGAGCAGGAAACCCATCTCGGTGCTACTTTCTAGAATTCTACATATAGAGCTCATGTCGCACTTAATATTTAAAGGTTGTAACCTATTTGGGAAATGTAATACGCTCAAGATCTCTTGATTGGACGAAAGTGACCTTCTACTTTAGCTGAATATTTAGACTTGCGATGTACGTGAATTGAGTGATGCCAGAAATACCGATGTCTTAAAGAAAACTGGTCTGTCTTCCACCATTCATGAAATCTCCACGATGATCCATGCTAAAACTTAATAGTACAACACATCTTTTAGCCCTGAAGTTAAAAGGTCACTAGGAAGCCAGAAGCAGTCAGGTGTAAACGAAAGTCCGAAACTCCGCGTGGCTTGCGGACTATGGCTTCGGAGAAATTCTATGCTCAGACCTCCACGTGTTGTCCAAAAATGCCTGGGGTATATGCAGAACGTTAGGAGATTGAGTTCGTGAATAAATTCACGATAATTGAATTTGCCTTGTAAAAATTTACCCAACCAAGATCCGAGAAGTCGTAAAAACTGTGTATGTCCAGATGAACTACATCTGTGTGCCACAGCCAATGAATGCTTCTCAAAACTTGAATCGACGAGCGACAATCTAGCTGCCAGAGAAATATTGTCGGCATCATACGACAAAATCCTACTCCAGCAGGATCACACATCGGACAGCGCCCTACGTATATGCTTTTTACTGTACCCCTCACTTCCTCCGTCCACGGAGGTGTACATCTTATAAGCTACATCTTCATATTCTATCTTCTACCCAACTCCCGCAGCTCAGTCAGCAACCGGCATGCATACGACGCCCAACAGGACCCGAACCCGGGGCGCCATCCAGAATATCTCCTGCCAGCCTTAGCGCCGCTCGGTTGCTCCCATTCGTCTGACATGGCGTCACGCACCAAAATGCCCAGAACAGACAGCTCATTACATCAAAACCTCGGCCTCAAGGCCTCCCATTGGATGAAATAAGCGCCGTGAGGCAGACACTACTTCACACCTCGTAAACCCGGGGAATGCGGTCAGGAGTCTAGAAGCTTCAATTTACGAGCAGGAAAAGGAAGTTGGTAGGTAAAAGAATAAGCTTACCTTAGCGGGGTCAGCATGCCGCAGAAACCCGCAACCGGTTAGTTCCTTCCACTGGGCAAATAGAGTTTGTGCGGTATGCGTCAGCTTGCATGTGAGAAGCTGCAGGTATCGTTCAGCCGGTAAGGATGTCGAGCGTTTGCCTTTTGGATATTTGGTATCGAGATATGATTACGTTGTGTGATGTTACATGAGCAGCGTTCGGGATTTGATCATTGGAACAGGGCTGAGGATGTAACCTGTGACTCGTTGGATTACAAATTGGATAGGGGCCAGTCAGCAGCCAAGAAACTGTTCGGGTTCGGTAAAAGTACCGTAAAGGGTAATGCAGATTGTGAGGTTGTACAAAAGCTTGACCGCTACACTGCTTGGTAACGAGTTTGATATCGGGCATTCAACAAATCTTTTTCTTGGAGCACAATTAATCTGGGCTTGCAAACCGCCTTGGGACTTGCTAACATTGGTTGAAAGTTGATTGCAATAATCTAATCTATGTAGGCAATGTGATCTATACCGTACCAGTGTACGAGCTGAAGAGGTACATGGTCCCAAAAACAGAGCGGTCAAGAGCCCAGATCCATGCCAAATGCTCACCCCAATGATGGTGGTGTGGCCTTCATGATCTCTTGATATTGCCTTTGCAGTCCTCGTGCAGCATTTGCTAGTACTCTGTACCCCTTCCAATAGGAGGCCTTGCTTCACAATTCGTTGATGCAAGGCCCGAGCAATTGATCCGTCGTCCAGTACTACTGCGTGGACAAGATGAAGTTTGCCGTCGTCCTCGGCCAGCAATGAATGTGTCTGGGATTCAGGCATGGAAGCAGCGGCCATGTTTTGGTATGGTTGTTATGCGGCAGCAGATGGCTCGAGGGAGGGAAGTGGCGAAGGCGAAGACGTAACGAAGTACTCGAGCCACGTATCCCAGCACGTTGACTGCGGTATCCGCCGGTGGTTGTAGGAGTCGACAGCATGTTGGAAGAATAAAGGTGGCAAGGCGGCAAAGAGGGGTAAGTATTCCAAATCGACTTTTGAGGCTTGTTGAATGCCAAGCTCAAACCATGTCGATGTGGAAGTTGAAGCCGGTACTCTGTACTCCTTAGAGTTTGTTGAATGCTAGTTCCACATTTCGAGCTACATCCTCATCGCCATAGACATCTCCACAGTTTCATTTAGTCGATGCAATTCCATACCTGTCCTGTCAGCAAACCCCCTCAACCCCAAATTGTAATTTCACCCACCAGCAAGTACCCATCTCCGATTAAAATATCCCAGCACCTTCCTCAACTGATCAAAGTCCTCCAGCCATAGAGGATCATTGAAGTCTTCCGCAGTAAGGATATGCTGCTGTGCACACCTAACAATGTGTGCCATAGCCGGGTGCAAGATGTCGATATCGAAGTTTCCACATTCTCGGTTGAACGCGTAGGCAATGTCAATGACCATCCTCGTGAGGGTCTTGAGCGCTACTTCGGTTGTCTCTTTGTATGATGCTGTGGCCATGATCTCGGAGTGCATGTGGAGAGTTTGGTGCAGATTATACAAGCCTCTGTCAACACATTAACACGCACCCTTAGAAAATAAGAAAGAAGATAC